CTCCGGAGACTTTCCAACCCGCCTGGACACGTTCCTGTGGGGCTGCCCTGGGTGACCCTGCTCTGGCAGGGGGTTGGATTAGATGAGCTCTGGAGGTCCCTTCCAACCCCAAACATTCTGTGATTCTATAATGTTGCCTCCTGCAATCGTGCACCCAAGGCTCCCTCGGCTGCAGCGCGGACAAGCAGAGAGACCCAAGAAGCAGCAGGGAGTTACCGCACCGAGCGCTGCCCGTCCTTCACTAACCGGCAATTAAATGAGTTTAGGATAATGGGGCTCAATAATTATGGCATAGAGCTGTAAAATTATGATGCTCCGGCCCACAAATCCTGCAAACAAGCGACAATAATCAAGGCAGAAACAATCCAGCAGGCGACACGTGTCACCACTTTCACTCAAGGTGATGAAAAAAGTAACTGAGTGAAGGTTAAGTGCAGGGCTCCGCGTTTCGGTGTTTCCTTATTCAACAGAACGAGAACATAACAAATCAGCGCAGGTTTCTTAAAATACAAAATGAGACCGAAAGTATTTATTATTTAAAGTATTTATTATTTAAACTTTTTATTCTAAACCACCTACAATAACACTGTCAGAGCCAAAATTTAAAATGACCCTAATCTTACCCATTCTAGTCAACATGTATTATTTCACAGTGGTTAGTAATACAAACAGTGAAAATTCAGAATTTTGACAAACATCCCTCGGAAAACATGAAAGGCGTTAATTTCTTTCTAGGCAAATATGTCTCGTTTCTTAGTTCTTTGTGTATTTAGATTCATTTTGTAATTTACATCCATTTTTAGAAAATTATTGCCGGATCCAAATATTTACAGACTTCCAAACAGTCTCCCCCAGCAAAGAACTGTTACATTAGAGCTCCCGAACATGTTTTAAACACTAGAAAACTACAAAACCCTAATGAGAACTATACAAGGACTTAAGTGTCGCCTTTAAACTTCACCTGCTTGCTGTCACGTGTATTGTAAGGAACTCGCAGATGATTCCCCATTATTGTGTCACTTGAAGCACCGTGCGCCCACGTGACGACGGAGTTGAGGCTTGATCAGGACGTTTTCTAGGAAGAATAATTCTCTGTAAATGACAACGTAGTTTAAAACCAAACCCATCCGCTTTACACACCTTACGTGGACAAACACAGGTGCCAACAAGATGAAAAACAAAAAGCACAAAAAGAACCTGTAGGTTTGGCCAATCCAAGCTGCAAATGCACACGCTTGTTTGAAAGCACCAAGCTAAGGGGCAAGATTTTAGTGGTCTGTGCAATCTGCCCTCCCTTCCCACCGTTCTGCTTCCCACTATCGCTTCTGCAGTTCCAAATCTGACCAGGCCCTGCGTCCTCTGCTTAAAATCCCTCCCCTTCTTCACTCTGCCCCTTAAACCCAGCACCCCTTCAGCAGAGTTCTCCTGCTTTTCCCAAATCACCAAACAGAGCAACTTCACAGACCAATCTGACAAGTGAAATAGAGACTTGCTAATTCCTTTTTTTTTTTTCCTGTTAAAACTACTCACTCCAGTCTGAGGAGGCTTCTGAGTTGGCACCACATAAAGTTATCAGGCTCCCTTACTAAAGTAACAAAGCTCACCGAGTGGAGAGGAGGGTAACTTATGAGACAAACAACTTGGGGAAAAGATTTGGCAACTGAGGAGCGTTTTGCAAACTCAAGCGTTGCCAAAACATGTCAAGCAGCAACAGCCAAGTCTAGAGTCCTGCCAACAGGCGCAGAGAAAGTCGAGCATCTGCAGGAGCTCTGTGGTTGTAGAAAGCGAGTGGTGGAGAAAACAAACTTCCAAGGGAAGAGACACTCGTGTTCCAAACCCTGGCAAGGCCTCTTTTTTTTTTTTTCACAGGAGATGGAGAAAAATACAAGATTTTCCTCTACTCCCACAAGCGGGAGCGGCTTTTGCTGAAGCGGCGCTTGTCACCCTGGCGACAACGTCTGTCTACAAGTGACATTTCAGTTTGGTTTGGCAGATGCAGCCTGATGTCATGGCGATGGCAGCGTCAGTGGTTTGGGCAGAAGCACTTGCCTGCAAAGCCCCCAGGGCACCAGGTTTAGTGGCTCCAGGTGGGAAACAAGTCACTCCTCAAAGCACCTTTAAGCTTTTGCTTTGCTGCTAATGGCAAGTACGGGTCTGTGATTTCAGCAACAGCCACTTCCAAGGTAGGAGGCTCCCTCCCACCTCTCTTTTCTCTTCAAATAACAGACTGAGAACATCCACTGACTCAAACCAGGCCTGTTTGCAAGCTCTGCAAGCCCTCAAATAGCTGACCCTAGTTTTATCCCTGCTCTGACTTAGCAGCGTCTGACAGCAAGATGAGCTGCGCAAAGCGAGGAAATCGTTTGGTTTAAGTTGGGGGAAACGTGGGGGGTGAAAAGGGTTAGTGCAGGAAACGTGGAAGGACTTGTTTAGAGAGACAGAGTGGCCGGGGAGTGGGGCTGCTTAAATCGGGCCACTGCAACAACGGGTCTGTCCAGATTATGATGTGAAGAATACAGAAAGACACAGAGAACAGTCCAAGCATCAGGCTCCCTCTGCAGCTGCTCTCGAGGAGGCAGGCGTCGTATGCCACCCTCCCATCCATAAAGCACACCTGCAGCCAGAGACTTCAGCAACCGTCCCCAGCTACAGAAGTCACAGTGCCAAAACCACCGCGTGGTACTTACAGCTTTTCCGTGACACTTCCGCAGAGGGGAAGGACTCCGGGGCACGTACTCTCAAAGGCAAGCGGTTCTTTTGTTCGAGGGTGGCACTGGAACTGAAAGACTTCAGTTACTTCTCCTGACAAATGCGCTTGCTCATTTTTTTACTAGAGCACAGAGAACAGCAACGCCAGAGAACGGCACTTTGCCGTTGGAGGCTGTGGTGCTCAGCAGGAGCTACGTGCACTCAAAACACGAGAATGGTTTCCAAAAAAGCGCAACAAGTGAAACCAGATAGCGCTGCTATTGCCCTGTACAGAAGGGGATGTGTACATAGAGGGGTACGTACATACACACAGGAGCTCACACCGAGCTGCGCACGGGCTTAGACAAAAACGCTTTGGCAACTCCGGCGGTGCCATCGCGTCCTGTACGCAAGCCTGCCATCGCGATCTGCTGTCCCACCAAGGACACCAGTCAAGCTCCACCCAGTTTGCAACCAGGCATTAAGCTTCTCACTCCGCCCAAGCCCTGATTACACTTTGCAAAGGCAAAGAGGGGAAGGTTTCTGCCCTGACGTCAAGTCTAAGGTGACACGAGGTGACAAGCGACTGCGAGCTGTTCGCTCAACAGCAGCTCAGCAACTGTGTGAAAAAGCTCCAGAAGGAGGCACCCAGCCACCAGCGTGACTGAAGGAGCTGGGGCTGTTGAGTTTGAAGAGGAGGCGGCTGAGGAGAGAGCTGGTTGCTCTCTACAACCACCTGACAGGGCGCTGTATTGAGGTCGGTGCTCCCCTCTCTATTAGCGATAGAACAAGGGGATGGCTTCTGCAAGAGGGGAGAGTTAGACTGGACATTAGGAAGATCATTTTCCCAGCAAGACCAGTCAGAGATTGGCACGGTTGAGTCCCTGTCCCTGGAGGTGTTTAAAGGCCGGTGAGATGTTGTGCCAGGGGAGATGGGTTAGGGGTGAGCTTTGTAGAGTCGGGTTCATGGGTGGGCTCGATGACCCCAAGGGGCTTTTCCAACCTGAATGATTCCGTGATTCTATTTCCAAAGTTAGGTCCTGAGCCTTTACGCTTTCTTCTGAGCTAAACACTCGAAGTGAACACAGCCCACAGGGCGGAAGAGCACCCTGCCCATGTTCCTGAGGGACTCCTTCCCTTGGGTGAGCCAGTCACGAGAACGCTGAAACCAGCCCCCTAAGAATGTTCACTGTCCATCAGTATCTCATCGTTATTCAGTCTCCCTCCTCCCAGGGTTTGTACCGCAGCAAAGCCAGCCCGCAGCCAGCCACTGGGCTGGGAGTGAGCTGTGACAGATCTCTACATAAAACACGGCTGCAAGGAATCAAACTCGTGTTCGCTACCTGTTTATGGCAGAGTTGGTCAAGCCCCAGATAAAAGGAGAAGCTGACTGCTCCAACGACTCTGCAAAAGGAAACACGTCGTTCAGAACTAAGGAACTCCAGCCACTGCCATCAGATCAGGAAACTCTCTGTGGTATTTCTACATGTTCAACAGGGAGTAGAAGTTCATTTAATGAGGAATGCATCTGCTTCACCGTCATTTATCTGAGAAACATAAAGCTTAACACGTTTCCATTGTCATCACTGCACTTCAGGTATGAAAGCTTGTACAGGAAAGGAGCAGATGGTTGGAAATATATCCCTGTGCCTGTTATTGCAGGCATGTTGTATAGTTCTCTACACCAAGAAAAGCCTGCTGGGTGGAGAGATGCACATTTTTAGGGTCAAGCATAAGCAAGGTCGCTCTACAAGCGAGACCTAAGCAAACAGCATCTCTGGACTCATGCTTTCCCAAGTGGAATTGAAGGGTGGGGGTCAAGAGAAAGGGGATAATCTCTTTTCAGTGGTGCCCAGCGATAGGACAAGGACTAATGGGTGTAAGCTGGAACATGGGAAGTTCCAGCTCAACGGGAGGAGAAACTTGTTGGCTGTGCGGGTGCCGGAGCCCTGGCCCAGGCTGCCCAGAGAGGGTGTGGAGTCTCATTGGGACCTACTCCCTTCATCATCCTCGTAGCTCTCCGTTGGACTTTCCGAGTCCAACGGAGAGCTACGAGGATGATGAAGGGACTTGAACCAGAGAGGGTGTGGAGTCTCCTGCTCTGGAGACTTTCCAGCCCGCCTGGACACGTTCCTGTGGGGCTGCCCTGGGTGACCCTGCTCTGGCAGGGGGTGGCACTGGGTGAGCTCTGGAGGTCCCTTCCATTCCGTGATTCTATGACAGGACCAGGGGGAAGGCAGCAGTGCGGCAGATAGGAAGTTCCTCACCTGCTTCCCAGTCTTCTTCACATGGAGGTGCCTGCCACATGCTCACGGTACTTGTCTCATTCCCCTGGAAGCCACTGGACTGATGCACTTCGGGAAGAGAGAAAACTCAGCAACTAGCAGTCAGCTTTGCTTCAGAGGCATTAAGTGCTTTGGTTCAAGCTTTTCCTCTTGGCTTTAGAGGAAATCCTGCACAACAGGTTAGGTAGCCCCGGGAGCCAGCTACTGATCTGAAATCAAGCAGCTTTCACTCCACCTGTTTCATGGAACAGGAAAAGACCCCTCCCTCCTGATCTCTGCAGCAGAAACCATCGAGCAAAGAGTTCACCTGCTTACGTGAACACAGGCATCACTGCTAGCCCCAGCGCAACTCAACGGAGGATAGAAAACTCCCCATCTCCTCTGCAGTGTGGTATTAAAGAGACAAACGCAGGGGATGAAAAAAGCACAGGATGCCTCCCCAGATGTCTTTGGGGTTTTGGACTGCCCCCTCCCACCTTGTCTCACTGGGCAGGAAACTGAAATCTGAATTATAGGGCAGATAAAGCAAGAGGAGCTGCCCCATCTTGAAATCATCCCAGCTCCTACTGGTGGTTACTTCAGCACAGCCAGGTGCAAGGGGATACAGCCTTTTCCTTCAGCAAACCTGACAACAAATGATGTGCGAGGCCCACCAGGAGCACCTGCAATATTCTTATGAACCCGCTCAATAAATCCAAGCAAGTAAGACTCAAAGTCTCCCCAAAGCTGCTCCTTCACACAGAACTATAGCCAGTAATTTGACTCCCACTTTTCGGTTATTTTACCATCTATCCTTACAAACAGGAGACCTCAGTGTCCAGGGTGAGCCAACAGTTCGGAGAGCAGGTGGTTTTCTTACCTATATCTCGCTCAACGAACCCTTTGTCATTGCACTTCGTTATGTGATCGCTGAGGTCGGCTTGAGGGACGAGATGGCGAGCGTTGAAGGGACACGTGGCCAATTTCTTCGCAACTTCAGGGTAGCTCTAGACGAGGGAAAACTAAAATCATGTGCTGTGTCTCTCAGGTTCACTTATCGCTTGCTAACCCATAGAAAAAACCCGAGGACATTTGAGATGTTGCTTTAAAAAAAGACTGTACAAGGCACAGCAATATATTGTTCAGACACTTACTAAAAATGCAAGGGAAAACTAACACAACTGTTCTTTAAAACACAATTCACTGAGAAATTCAGCCTCCCTGTCGCCTGGAATGGAACAAACCCTCAGCTCAACTCCCTGCGATTTGCAGCAACGTGTCTGTGTGGCTTAAGGCACAGATGAAACTACTTCAAAAACGAGCGGGGAGAGACATCAGAGCAAAATCTAAACCATGGCAGTATTTTTAAAATAAGCAGGCACAAATGCAGATAAATTCCTTAACCTTTTCTGAACAGCTCCAAAGCCGCAGCATTCCCCCTGCAGGCTGCAGTGCCGCAGGATTACTGCTCCTCACACACACACGGGTTCTGCTGGCAGTGCTTTGCTGTTACCACGCTGAAAGAATCCAATCCCTGTAAACGACTGAGCCTTTATTGGGAAAAAACCAACTTTTGCTGCTGCACCAGTGCCTGCCCAGTTCTGGCTGCTCAGGGACCAGGCCTGCAGCCCGGGTAGGGGCCACACAGCTGAAACTACTCAACACTAAAGCAGTTCAAGCTGAGAGGATCCGACTTGCTCTGTCTGCAGCATCCCCATCTGTGGGGCAGTGCCACCTGGAGAGACCACCCCTGCAATCCTGGGTCCACTTTGGGGCTCCCCAGCTCCAGAGAGACAGGGACCTACTGGAGAGAGTCCAACGGAGAGCTACGAGGGGGATCAAGGGACTGAACATCTCTTCTCGGTGGTGCCCAGCGATAGGACAAGGACTAATGGGCGTAAGCTGGAACATGGGAAGTTCCAGCTCAACAGGAGGAGAAACCTGTTGGCTGTGCGGGTGCCGGAGCCCTGGCCCAGGCTGCCCAGAGAGGGTGTGGAGTCTCCTGCTCTGGAGACTTTCCAACCCACCTGGACGCGTTCCTGTGGGGCTGCCCTGGGTGACCCTGCTCTGGCAGGGGGGTTGGGCTGGATGATCTCTCGAGGTCCCTTCCAACCCTGAACATTCTGTGATTCTATGATTCTGCTCAGAGCAATGGGAACCCGAGGCAGGTGGAAGCATTTAATTGGATTTTATGCACAGAGTACGCAAAGTAAAGTCAACAAGCTACCAAGCAAGGAGGATGAGCTCTGCCCAGACGCTTGCCGCTGCAAATAAACACATGGCAGCATCTTCAGATGGATCAGAGGATTAATTCCTGAGCCCTTCTTTTGCTAATTACTTACAGACACCAACTCTGGCTGGTGATCACTATCTCACCTCATCCTCCCAATTAGGGCAGGTCGCCAAAACTGTCTGGTTATTGGTTACACAATATAAGGACAAACATGGTTAGAAGTTTACTTTTCAACGTTGTTCACCTCGCTCACAGGCACAGTCCTGCCAAAATTTGCAGGGGGTCAACAAGGAAAATTTCAGCCCTCTAACGTTGGGAAAAGGGCGATACTTGCCACGAAGCTGCCCCCACCACTTTCACTTGTTACTTAATATTTTTTTAAGGCTCTAGTTCCACCAAAATGAATTGTCCAGGACAAACACTTCACAACTGCACCTTAACTGGAAAGCACAGTTACACTATTTAAAAAACACTTTGGCAAACTTATTGGTAAACTTAAAGAGGAATGATTGGGTTTTAAAAGGTCTCAACAAAACTCCAAAGCTCAGTCAGGCTCTAGCACTTGACAGGTTTAAAGAAAACAAACCATGAGGAGAAAAGAAAGGGGCGGGAAGGAATGCTTCCTATTTAATGATTTGTATTAAAATTCTGGATAAAAGATGGAGAGGGGAGAAAACCCAACCCTCTCCCACACACGCTGGGCCCAGGTTTTCACCAGATGCAGATTAAATAGTTATTTGCAAAGCAAAACAAAAGTTCAACCCTGCTACGCAGCTGCGTTTCCAGCACTTAAAGAACGAACGGCAACATCGCAGCACTTCCACTCTGCGGAGCCACGAGCACACAGAACTTAGACTGAGTTGTCTTTTCCACCTACAGAGGAAAAATGTATCAGACCTCCAGGTGAGCTGCTGGGAGAGATCAAAGTTTCCTCCCTAACCTAACCCTGAGGAATCTCTATCTCCTTTCAGAGCCACACTGGCCTCGGGTCAATTAATATGTACTTGAAGCTACTACTAAACAAATAATGAAGTTATATGAAATAAAGGCTAAACAAGGCTATGGTCAGGAACTTATTCCAGCCAAGAGTGCAACAAGAACACGTCAGATTCACACACACAGAGTTATTCCCACCCAGTGTCCTGTTGGGCAGCCCCAGCTTACCTTCCTGCACTTCACGAGGTGATAGGGAAACCGGCAGGCTCTGATTTGATGATGTTTGTTATACGGACACTGTATTAATCTCTCTGGATCAAACACATCTAGTAGAACAGAAAAAAACAGAGGGAAAAAAAATCCCCACAACTTTGTTAGAAAGACAAGATCTAGCACCACTAACACAGCAAAGCAGGGAAAAAAAAAATCTTAAGGAGTTAAACCAGTTATTCTTAGTTTGAAACCTTTCATTAAGGCAGGCACCTGCTTTGCATAACTAAACAAATGAGTTTTGAAGCTTGCTCTGACTGGGATATTAGTCAAAACAGATACAGAATAGTCAGTAGCACTGAGCACAACAACTCTTTTAAGTTACCGTATTAGGCAGGTAACCAGGCTTACTCAAAGCGAAGGAACCCAGCAGCACTTTTCCAGCTATCTTGGAGGAGAATCAGTGGGATGATGACACACCCACCAGTGCCTTCAGGAGCACCACCAGTCTGAACCGAATCTTTTTTAATTAACAGATCATTTTGCTGGGAGGAAGAACGCCAGGCAGCTCAGGTTCATTCCCGAGGAAGCGGCGTGCCTAACACGGTACACGTGATTTCTAAATGATGTTTTTCGTAACTCATGCAGTCCTTTAGAAGCTGAGGAGTTAGTAACCCAGCTAAATCACCTAAGAATCTCGGCAGTGTGCAGTTGTTGCAATTTTCAAAGGGAAGGTCGCAAAAACGACACAACTTATCTACACATAGGTAAGCAGGCACTTCTTTATTGCAGCGCTGGGAAGCTTGGAAATCACCCAGTGCTTCAAATACATCACCAAAATTCAGCCTATTTATACAGCTTTTGTGCAAAGTCATGATCTTTAACATACTTTAACATATTTTAACATAAACACGCATACTATGCCCGCTATTAATTTTGACATTTACAGCTCTTATTAATATTCTTATATCAATACGATTATTGGTGATTCTGCTGATTATAACTCCTGATATACAAATTGAGGTGACGTATGCGATGTTTCTCTGTTACTATCACAAAACATAAGATAAAAGGGTAGGGAGGTAAGTTCAGAACATTCCGGGGAGGTAGGGAAGCAGGCACAGAACAACTCCAGGGAGGAAGGGAAACAAGCATAAAACATTCCCTGTCAGCTTCGCAACTTGTATCAGCTCTACTTCTAGCCAAGGCCTACACACTATTTCTTAGCATAAGTAAGGTTTTTAAGGTTTTATATTCCTTATGCTAATATAAGTCAATTAACTATTTTAATTAAAATGGTGATTGATTAAAATGATAATTAGTTATTCATTAGCTCCTTAAAACTTAAATTTGACTACAACACAGTGAGGCAGCCTGCATGCATGCATACACAACATAGATTTTTTTAATCTATCTATAGATTCTAAAAAATATATATTATTAATGCCTCTATTAAAAAACCCACATTTCCATATTCTCAGTGTGGAAGCCAGGAGACAGAGGTGCCTGTGGATCCCTTTCTGGGGCACTCTCCAGAAGCCAGACGAGGCTTCTTTCACCCTTGCTGCCCTGCCGTGTTTTGCACAAGCTTTCAGAACATTTTGGATTTGATTACATAGTAGCTTAAACAGTTCTAAGTATGGGCTGCTGCCATTTAGCCTCTTCCCTGCCATCACATCTCCTTCTCTTACGCACACATTAGTGCTCAGTTGTCCCAACAGCCAGGCTGGGGAGCTGTATCAGCCCTCGGGCTGACAGCTAATTCAGGCGTCGGTCCAGAGGTCCCAACGAGCTGACTTTGTGCTGTGAGCTATCAGGAAGGAAGGACAGACAGACAGACCTAATGCTTGTCTCCATCTCAGCTGTGCAGGCATCTCTCACCTCTATTAGCCAGTTTCGGTCATTAGAACAGCTGAAAACTAATGACTTCATCATTAGAGAGGCCTGAGCTTTGCACTGGTTCTGCTGCCCCTGGAAGAGCACGTTTCTCTCTGTGAAGTGGCTCAACACAAGGTCACACCAAGTTCATTACCAGTAAAAGGAAGGAGACAGAAGTGAGTGTAGGAGGAATAGGAAAGCCCTCACCACAGTATATAAAACAAACACACAAAAAAGGAAAAAAAAATAAAAAAATCACAGCTGCTAATTTGATGAGGTAAATAGATAGTGTTAACACAAGGCTGCAGAGAGCAAAGCCTCCACAGCACCACAGCTGATATCCCTGTCCCTCACCTCACCACATGCAAACATGAACCCTCAATAATCCTAAAATCGTGGCTGGGGCCAGGCAAAAAACCTGCCCTGGCTAGGGGCAACGCCTCAACTAAACCAAGCCCCTTCATCCAGATAGTCCCTAAAGCCCTCATCCCACCTGCACCAAAGCGTGTCAGCTGGAGTAACTGTGTTAACTTTAATCCTGCCCCTCTGCTCTGCCCTGGGGACACC